TCTGCTGGGTGCGCTTTCGCCTTGCAGCTCTGGTAATTGGGGGACCCGGGGTCGGCCGGCCCTTGCCCCCGGGAACGGGGGGCTGCCCTGCTTTCTGGCTTCTGACTCTTGCCCCCTCTCCCCCTCACCAGCCAAGCCGAGGCCCCGGTGCGGGAGGACAAGCAGTCAGGTGGGTGGCGGTCTGCGTGTTTCGTTTTGTGTCGACACCCTCCTGTCCGCAGAGAGCACAGCCGAGAAGGGCGGCAGCACGTGGGACGGGGCGCGGAGGTGTGCTGGGGGGTCGGGCGGGCAGAACCTTTGGGAGGAATGGTTGCGAATGAGGTCCGGGGCTGGCGTTTATCTTTCAGTGAGCACCGCGAATTTGCCGTGCTGGCAGGTGGAAGAGTTCGTGGTGACAGAAGACTGTGCCCCGTGCTCTAATTTCCAGGCGGTGAGTATGGTTTTGTTTTTGTTTTTGTTTTTGTTTTTACTGTATCTTGCTAAGTATACCTTTGTGTTGTCTTTTCGTCTTTTTCTTTGCAGTCTATGTCCTGAACTTGTCTTCCCCCGAGAATACACCCTTTTCTTTTCAAGTTCATGGCAGCATTCAGCTAATAACCGTGCCCTGTTCATTTTTAATCCAGCCGGCTCTGGAGCCTGTCCCCGCCTCTCCTAGACTATGGCCCCTGAAGTATTCTTTCTAACACATGATCCCAGTCAAGCAACCACCACCTCCCCATCCTCATCAGCACTCTTGGTTAGTTCTGTGGCGTGACATCTCTGGGCCACAGCACCCGCTCTTTCTGAACGGCGGTTTCCGCCTGGCGCGGCCCCTCCGTAACAGGCTCTTGGGTCCTTTTCTCCTGGCAGAAAGCCAGCCCCGAGTGTGGCTCCACGGGGTATGTGCAGAAGATCACCTGCAGCTCCTCCAAGAGGAGTGAGTTCAGAAGGCAAGTGCTGTTTCTCTCCTGAAACCTCCTAGCTCGCCTCCTTGGCTCCCCTGACCTTGGGGAGATAGTCCCACCTCCTCCTCATGGTCTGGAGGGAGCAGGACCTAGTGGACGAGGAACCCAGGTCTCCGCCTCAGTGCTATGTCATTGGCCATGTTCTCTCGCCAGTGAGATTGGTTAATACCAGCTCTGCTGTCTCTCCAGAAAACAAATTCAGTGGTACCTTTGCGTGGCAGTTATGCACTGTACACTGTAAACACACTGGGAGACTGACTCTGGCTTCCTCTCTTCTCCTCGGATGGGTCTCGGTTGGGCTGGTCCAGGACAGCCTTTCTGGCCTTCCCTGGGAATAACTGTTTCTTCCCGCCCTCAGCTGCCGCTCAGCGCTGATGGAACAGCACTTATTCTGGAAGTTTGAAGGGGCCGTTGTGAGTGTGGCCTTGGTGTTTGCTTGCCTTGTCATCATTCGTCAGCGACAGCTGGACAGAAAAGCTCTAGAAAAGGTCCGGAAGCAAATCGAGTCTATATAGCTCCCTTCTACCCTTTTACATGGGTCTGAGACACAGAAAGTGGAATGGACTGATTGTGCCCCGGGTTTTTGGAACTTTGTGGTGGCATCTTCCTCGTCTGGATCATTAATGAGCAGAATAAAAAGAGCAAAGCAGTTTCCTTCCCTACTGTAACTTGGTTTGGGGGCAGGAAGTCATGGAGTAGAGGGGGACAGGGGTGGCTACATTAGGCCCGGTTTACCAAGTACCTGGGGTACGATTTCAGCCAAAAAGAAAAAAAGTTTATTTAAAACTCCCGGGGTATGATTTCAGCAAAAAAAAAAAAAAAAGGAAAGAAAAAATTTGTTTCTTAGCAAAAATTTGTTTCCCCTCAACCCTATCTGCAAAGAAGAAATAAAATCACAGATACATAAACGTGTTTGCGGTGGCCCCGACACGCACACCGGGCCTCTGGGCGCACACATCTAGAGCATCCTGAGGTGATTCAGACCCCCGAGGCCAAAGGACCCCGAGGAGGAATCCCAGGGGAAGCGGAGCCGCAGGGAGCCCTGGGCCCCTCCCCCGGCTAGGTGTGAGCGGGAAGTGCCCAGCTCACATCTCATCTGCGTGCACAGAGGTTCTGACGTGCCCACCGGGGCCTGTCTTCCCTCCCATCTTCTCCAGCAGTGTCCTTGTTGAGCCATTGGCACCCTTGGCCCCAGGGGGCCCCCCCAATCTGGACTCTGCCACTGGGGTCTCCTGATTCTCCATCATGTCCTTGTGAGTCAGGATATTCCTGGAAATCACTGTGGGGTGAAGGAAAGAGGGCAGTAGTAGGGCACTCGCTTAGGTGGGGGATCCTGGACCAGATGGGCCCTCCCTCCCACCCCTTCCCGGCCCTGCCCCTCACCTCCGCGAGGCTGGTAATCCTTTGGCCTGGCTTCTGGGAGACCTTGAAAGGGGCTGAGACTGGGCAGGATGATGAGAGCCAGGGAGAAAAGTAGGATCTGGGAGGAAGCAAGAAGATGCTTGGGCTATGGGGACAATGGAGCGGATCAGAGGGCAGAGTGCATAGAGGGGTCATGAGGGAAGATGGGTTCCGCCTGGGAGGGGGCGCGGGATGGAAGTGGCAGGTGGAGGAGGTGGGGGGAGTCGGGACTGGACTGCTGGTACCAGAACGCAGGTGCTGGTCTGGGCGGCTTTGTTGGAAGTCTGAGTCATAAGCATCTGCAGCTGGCGGAGCTGAGTCACCAGGGAGCTGGGGAAGGAGGATGGGAGCGTTGGGTCTGCTCAGGGGCGTGTGCAGCCCCCGCCCCCAGCCCACATGCGGTGCTTTCACTCACATGTTGTGCCTCTCCAGCTCCTGGACTTTCTTCTGTAGTTCCTGGTTCTGTACAGAACAGGCAGCCACCCTAGGGGGTGCGGAGAGGTGGCACGAGGTTCTGCCATCCCGCGTCCCTGGCCTGGCCCGCCTTGGTGAGGAAGCGGGCCCCAGGCTGGCCCGCAGGAAGCCAGAACCGGGAGCCCAACACACCTGCTCTCCAGTCCATCGATATACTCCTTCTTCCGCCGCCGACTGTCCTGGGCCGACTGCTTGTTCCGGATTTTCCTCCGGACCTTCTTGAGGACCCTCTCCTCTGCCTGGGGGCCCAGAGTGTGTCAGCCCCGGGCCCCTAACCCCGCCTTCTCCCACTTCCCAGAGATCCTGGCCCCTCAGAGGCCACGGAGGGGCCGCCGGGTTGGGATGCCATCTGGGGAAGCGCGTTACCTTGGTGAGGGGCAGGTGAGAGGGCAGGGAGACCCCTTCCTGCCCCAGCAGACGCTTCTCCTCATCCGTCAGGAACAAGGCTTGACAGGACAGCTGGCGGGGGACAGAAGATGCGCGGGAAGAGGGTCATCCCGTTTCCAGCACCCAGGTGCTCCCCCACAGGCCTTCTAGAGAGTGGGTCCCGTGTGCACTGAGGGGTACCTGACCAGGGCATGAGGTGAGGGCAGGGACCTGGATTCAGGCTCTGGGTCATGCCACTGGGGCCTCTGGAGGCCGAGAGGGGAGAGAGGAACTGGTTTTGTCATCTCCTTTGTCCAGACTCTGGACCTCAGCACCCTGAGCAAGCTAGAGAGGGCCCGTTCTGTCCCGCACGTCCCTGAACCTCAGGGGTATCTGGAGGGACGTGGAGTAACTCGCTAAGGTACGGTTTGCTAATCTCGCAGCAGGCAATGGTTCACTTTGAGCCATTTCTTTTGTTTGCAGAGCGTAGTATCCAGTCACCTGTCACCCACAGCAAGCCACCTGGGACAGTGTCTCATTCTCCCTGAGGGCAACCAGACTGATCAACTTCTCCTATGAAAATATGTGGGGAGGACAGAAAAGTGTCGTGTTCCCGTCAGCTGAGTGACTTGCCTTTCTAATGGTGCTTTTTGGAAGATTTGTTTCACTCGTGACTTCAGAAGAATTTGCTTTTGATTTTGCCTCCTGATAGTCTTAGGCTTTTAACTAAACCATCTCTTCTGTCTCTGCTTTCCCCCGTGCTGTGACGATTTGGTGGAACTGTGAAAGGGTGTCCCTCCCAACCCACCTAATCAAAATCCCTGACAATGAGGCCTAGAGGGTTTTGGTTAAAAACCAGATTTTCCAGTGTTTGCAATGCACACTGGAGTGTAGAGGCATCAGACTCTGTAAGGCCCCTCAGCCCAAGATTCTAAGGTGCGAGGCTCGCTTCTGGTCCCAGCTTCAACCACAGATTTGCAGGGAGGCTATTTGCACACGAGGAGTTCTGTCCGGGACAAGGGGACAGTTCCCCTCATCACCACCACTGGAGGAACCAGCCCAGCCAGCCTGGGGAAGGCGTCTGACACGCTACTCGCTGCCGCAGGCAATGGGTGCCTATTGGACAGTTATTCCAGTGGAAATAACTGCTTCTCTTAACACCCTGTGCCCAGTAACCAGTTGGATTCCCAGGCAGCCTGTCCCATTTCCATGTCCTGACCAGAGGCTGAGACAATGGCCCTGGCTGGGCAAACGACACACAGGTCCAGGCTTTCTCCTGAGCCCCATCCCCAGATTCCCTCACCCCACTTTCTCTGAGTACCTTACCACCAAGGGCAGTGTCCCCTTTGTCCTTTACTGTTCTTAAATTGCCCATGTCTCTCTGGCCTTCTGGCCTGAGGCCACAAAACTTATTAGGGCAGAGACAGTTCGCCATGTTTTCTCCTCCACTGCCCCCATCCGTGTGGGTACATACGTGTGTATCAGGGAGGACTGCGGCCGGCCAACTCCAAGACTCACCAGGGTGGAAGGAGGCACTGGGCTAACAGCGCCAGCTGGGGGCAGGAGGTGGACACGGGCGTCAAGGGGCAGCTCGCTGACCACGCAGGCATCGGGCACCATAAATGGGGGGCTCCACTGATCTGACGGAGACACAGGTGGCTGGGAGAAGAGATGGAGGGTGCACGCCACGGGCTGGGGAAAGCCCCTTCGCCCTGGAGCTAGGGCTGGGTCTGAAGGGCCATTGTCCCCTTCCCACAGAACACAACTGACCTAGCTGGATAGAGATGAGCCCTACGGCTGGCCTGGCTTCCCCTTGCATCCTCTCCAGGGCCCCTGCCTCATAGATGACCTCGTAGAGGGCAGGGGAACTGGGTGCCTTGGGGGCAGGTGGACTGTCTGGGCGACCAGGGTCCTCGGAGAGTCCACTGTCACTGCCAGGAGATGCTTCCGAGCAGTACACTTCATTGGGGTCAATGCAAAGCTTCGGGAGATCTTCAGGCTCACTCTCCTGAAGGCCCTACATTAGAAGAGGGTGTGCGTACGGGGAGGAATTCTGCACGTCCTTCCGACATCGCGCCCCGGTCCTGGAGCTTCGGTTTCATTACCATGGGCCCTTGGACGTGGGGATAGGTACAGTTTATGTCTATTTTAGGGGCACTGTCTTCAGACCACTCTCCAAGTGTAGGCTGAAGCCGCTTGGGCTTCTTATCAGAGCGGGGTCTCAACCCACCCCACTTCCATGCATCACTCACACGGCCACGGCCCCCCGTGGACTCCCAGCCTTGCAGCCCCTGTTCTTGCAGCCTGGTCACTGGGGCCTCTGGAGGTGGACAGTGGAGTCCCAGCTCCAGAAAGGATCCTGTTGAGAAGACATCCTCTGGGGGCTCCAGCCACACATCCAGAAGGTCGGGGGTTCCGAAATCCATCCTGCAGGGAGGCAGGTGTTGCGGGGGAGTTGCAGGAAGATGATGGCTGCCCCCAGTGCACGCGCACGCGCACACACACGCACACAGCTCCTGGGGTCCTCTCACTCCCTCTTCCATTATCCCCCTTCCTCACCTGCACAGCCCCTCACCTGTCACCCGGAGATGTCGCCTAGGGCCTTATCTCTGCGGTTCAGGCGAACAGGCCCCCGGGGTATTACCTGTTCCGAGGAGCCCAGCCCTGCCAAGCCAGCCAGCCGAGCCCGCTGACCGCCCCAAACACTACACCTTTTCTTCCCTCCAGGATCTTGCATCCTGGACCTGCCCAGCCAAACCCCGCCCCCGGCCTTGCACTAGGAAAGTGGGTTGCACCTAGCCGGGAGCCGCCGTAGGGGCGCTGAATCTGGAAGCAGGGAGTTAAAAGGCTGAGCATCCAGATTCGAGGAAAACAGACAGCCTCGCCCCTTCTGCCTCAGTTTCTCCTAACGAAAGCAGAGCTTCCTGAGGGTTTGGTGTCTCCTCAGGGAAGGACAGAGATGGCTGGGACTGGAGCACAGGACGCTGGAGTGCCTGTGCTCCGGCCATCAATTTCACGAAAGTGAGACCGTAACCCTGTGGAAAACAAAGGGAAAACGTCGGCAGGACTGCGGGAGATTGACGGAGGCGCTCCCACCCCCAACGTGGGGGCGCTCTGCCCACCTTCGAGTCTGATTGGAAGCTGAAGACGTAGCTGTTTTGACGGGCAGGGCATTGAGCCAATGGAGTTACCCTCTCGAGGCCGGCTCCGCTGTAACTGGCCAGAATAAGCTGTCCCAGAAAGAGCGAGCCAATGGAGCCGGGGCACTGATTTACTCCGCGGTGATTGGCTTCCGCGGGACCAGAGGGCGGGCAAGAGCCCGAGACGAATTGCAGAGAAGGGGAAAAAGTTCCGAGAGTGCGGGTAGTAGCAATTCGGTTCCGTTTCGCTTGCCATGTGACTCGGAAGCTCAGGTTATTACTCAGGCGGGAAGTAAATAACCTGTTGACCCGACTGAAGTGACAGAATTTTGACTCAGCAGGCAGAAAGTTGAGCAATCTCGGGGTGTCCAAATCCGTAATCTGCGTTATGCTACTGATGAAGGACAGCAGTTATCCATACACACTCACAGCACTGTTAACTAACGGAGGGACGAGGATCTGGAAACCCTCAAGACGCTACAAAATTGGGTTTTGGTGGTTTGGTGTGGGAATTTGCCTTGTTTGCGTATTATCACCACAGTATGTGTCCTGTATTTGTATAGTTTACAAAAATGTTTTCATAAACTTCGTTCTCTCTTTCAATCCACAAGAGCTCTGAGGTAAACAGGCCAGGTAACATTTTACTAATTTTACCGAAGAGGAGACAAAGATCCATGACTAGAATGTAGCAATCGAAACTCAGGATTTTTTTATTTTTATTTTTTGCTTTGGTCTAATGACCGATGACCCTGGAATTCACTTTAAATAAAATAATGAAGCTATACTGATACAGGTATGATTTTCATCTGCCTGCCTCCCCAACAGTACTTCAGATAAGGGGTAGCTGGGTGAATGAAGCAGAAAAGGTTGGGGTGTGGATCTGGAATTCAAACCGGTATTCTCGCGAAAATTTAAATGGGCTGAGGGTAAAGACAGGAACAGGATCTAGTACTTACTGAGTATTATGTGTTCAGGCATTTTCATATTACTCATGAAATTCTCATAGCAACTCAGCTGGCAGAGAAGTAACTTTCTCAAAATTACTCTGTAAGTAGCTGAACCAAGAATTTTTTTTTTTTAATATGGAACGCTTCACGAATTTGCATGTCATCCTTGCACAGGGCCATGCTAACCTCTGTTTCGTTCCAATTTTAGTACATGTGCTGGCGAAGCGAGCACTGAACCAAGATTTAGATGCCCGAGCCCACATGCTCTGCACTATACTAAGCTACCTTGCTGGAGCTTTCTCCAATTTCCCAACTCTGTCTTTTCTGCTCATCTCCCTGCATCTTGCTCAGGTAGTGAAAAAGACAAAGCAGACTTCCTAGATTGATGCAGAGACCTAAGGAAAGCAGAGCCATCCTTGCTTAGATTTTTCCTAGAGCAAGAAAGGTTTCAAAGGGCTTCCTTGAGGCTGCATGTGCAGAGGCGATTGAATAGAAAATATACTCAGCTTCCATAATGTTAGAACCGGAAGGAAACTCTCGTATCATCTGCTAATCTACCTTCCCTCTTCCACCCGAATTACCAAGCTCCCAGGAAGGAAAATGACTTACCTAAGATCACACGCCAAATTAAGGTAGAGCTGGCATTAGTTCCCAGACATCCTGGCTCCCAGTTCACAGTTCCTTGTTAATGTTACTAATTATCAATAATCTTGAAAATACAATTCGTCACAAACCATAGCATGCATAATCCCTTAAATAATCTGGAGTTGCCTCTAACAGTAATTTTTCTTTTAATCAAGAGCTTGGAGCGGCAATAATTATTATTACATGCCAGGCACCAGTACTCATTTCACGTACATCCTGATCTCAGCGTTCTTTGTGATTGTTTTCTCCTTAGACTACCTCCCTCAAGAAGTCCTCACATTCCCCCTTTTCTCAAGGAAGTTGCTGGCCTTCGTTTCCAGAGCCTTAACAGAGGCATCGCTGTCCTTCTTTAGGCGAACAGGCCATTTTACCTTTGCAAAAGGGTAGGCTGACTGACCCTCCTTCTTTACCTTCCTCTTTTGTACCCTCCCCTCCCATGAGGCTAGAAGAGGATTCTGATAACACGGGGTTGTTACACTGCATGCGGCCCAAGAGAATCCAAGTTAAGGAAACAGCGAAGGTCCCGCGTTGAAAATACCTTGGCACATTCGAGGAACAGAAAACAGAAAGGAGGTCAGCATGGCTGGAGAGAGAGGAGTTGAAGAATTCGAGATGAGTTTGGAGAGAACCCAGGCCAGATGTCCGAGGCACAGTAAGGATGGTAAGTTGGAGTGTGCTGGGAGCTTTTCACTGAGGGCGGAGCTTCGGCAACCCGTGAGCTGGGTCCCACCCCTTCTGTACCCATTCCGAGAAAGCTGAAGGCCGCACAGAAGTTAGCTCAGGCCATTGGCAGTCAGGAAGGGATGATTTTCGAGAAATGCCCTCTTTTTGCTATTCTTTTCCAATCTGCCTTGTCTCTTTTTCTCTCTTGTGGGTGCTGAGGAAGGAAGCCGAGCACGGAAGCCAGTCCTAAGC